CGGCGTCGGTCCAGGGGGGTTTGGCGCCGCTGGTGATGCCCGTACCTGCGTGGGGTTGTGGCAGCTTCCGGACAAAGAGCTCCACGGGCTTCTCCGTGTGGGAAGCTGTCCCAGCAGCAACCCCTGGTCCCAGACAACTCATTCCTCATTTGACCCCAGCATTTGGCTGCAGCTGAAATGGGAGCAAACGGGGCTCCCTCTGCCCACCTGGACACCACCAGGCTCACCCAAACATCAACCCCATCTGCCGTGGGTTCAAAGACCCACTGTGGCAGCTCCGTGCAGCTGGGCTTGGGTACCAAACGTGCCTGTGTTGTGGTGTTTCTCTCCAGGGGCACAGGAGCTGGTAGACATCCTGCAGCCCAGCAGTGCTCAGGATCACCCTGAACCCACCACAAAATCAACCCTGGGCCAGCACCTATGCTGTGGAGATGCAGCTGCTGGTTTCCAAATAATCTTGACCTCCAGCTTTTGGCATCCTCCTCCTTGCCCAGGCTCAGCTCTACCCCTTCCTCACCTCCCCTCTTATTTACAGCCTGTCAGGAGAGCAGGACACTGCAGCCCTGCGACCAAACGCTGTCCCCTGTCCTCATGCCCAGCAGCCACAAGGGGGACAGAATGGACACCGCTGAGTTATAAACCACTTTTAATGGCCATGTTTGCTTTGGTCTGAATCCAAGGGCACTTGGGACAAGGCAACTCAGAGCCCCTGGTGAAGCAGCAGAAGGCAGCAGGATGGGGGAGCCCAGACCCAGCTCCCTGTATCACACTGAGCACCATCAGGGCAGGGACTATAGTGAAACTTCATCCCTGGGAGAAGCACCAGCTGGTGGCCCTGCTGGGTCCCAGCTCTCCCACCCCATGTTGTGCTGCAGCCTGGCAGCACGAATCCTTAATCCTGCATTTGAATCCTCATCCCAGTAGAGCGGGCAGAAAACCTTCGTGGTCGCCCTGGGTCCATCTGGGCGGGTGTTGGGAGCCGACCAGGCTCTGTGGGTCCAGCTCACGTACCTCCATGCACCAACATGAGGGGTCCCAGCCCACCCACCAGCTGGGGGAACCGGCCCCGTTGCTGCAGAGATGGAGACTCCCTGTTCTGGGGGCTCAGCAAAGTGCTGTCACCCACGGCACCGGCGAGCAGGGACGTGTTGCTGCAGGATGAGAGCTGCCTCACTGCCAAGGTTCCCACGGCTTTGCCTCACGGCTTTGGCACCCTACTTGCCTGCCCAGGACGGGTGGGTGAAGGTGATGTTCCTCCTCTTGGCCCAGCGGGAGAAGATGGCTTTCTCGGTGATGAAGCGGTGCCCGCCGCGGCGCACGCGCTCGTGCAGCAGGTACATCCCACACTCATCCAGCCGGCCCTTCTCGAAGTAGTGGTAGGGCACACTCAAGTGGCTCTTCTCCCTGCCAAGAGAAAACGAGGCGGGTGTGGGTTTTGAGGGGACAGCAGCCCACCCTGTGCCCGCCCTGCTGCCCCCCACGCACCTGCAGTAGCTGTCGCTGACCATCCCAAAGACGTAGATCTGCTCGCACAGCTCCATGGCCAGGATCATGGTGAACCAGCCCGTGCTCAGGAAGGAACCTGACTGCATCCTGCAAAGCACCGTGGCCGTGCTGGGGCACAGTCCTGCTGACCCAGCTTGGGGGGTAGGTGCCTGACGGGGGGGGAACAACGGGTGCTAGGGCAGTGGGACCTGCTGGTGGCTCCTGGGAGCTGGTGGTACCTGTTCTTCCCTGTCTCGTTCTGGAAGATGTCATCGCAGTACGTCATCTTCTCCTCGGTCAGGGTGTAGATCTGCAGGTGTGGGTACACCTGCGTCACCTTCAGCAGGGCCTGGTAGGTCGAGCCCCTCTTCTCCCGGTTCATCTTCTTTGCTGGCCCCCAGATGATGTAAAGGCTCTCCTGAGACTGCTGGAAGAAGTAGGGCTGGTTCCTGAGCAGCAGCGGGACGCTGGTGTGTGACACCACCCGCACAGTGGTCCGTGCCCCGACGTCCTCCTCGTAGCCGGCAGTGGGCGCGTGGTTCATGCGCAGGACACAGTCCTGCCCGTCGATGGCCTCTCCCAGGTGCGAGCCCAGCATCTGCCCCGAGCTGGAGACCACGGCGCAGCGGCGGCACAGCGCCCGCTCCAGCGGCTGCGGGAACACGCACCCTCAGCCCCCGGCTCC